AATCCAAAAGCTAATTATCTGTTCAATGCCGGTTATAAATGAAGTAAAATTAGTCTAAATGTATGCAGGTTTATTGCAATGATCAGAAAAGTTTCAGACTGTCTAGAAAATACAGAAGACTTTTCTAATTAGATGAGCGAAAAGAGAAATGATTTTCTGTTTGCTAGGAACTGGATTATTCAATGAGTCTTTGATGTACACACAGTTTTAATCCAATTTTTATAACTGACAACATGATGAAATTAATTTTAAAAAATGAGTTAGATGAAACAACTTTTGGTCTATTCTAGAAGTCCAATTTAATTTTAGATTGAACAATCTAGGAGCAACATGATATGCATTTAACATGATAAAATCTGTCTATCAAGCACAATTGGAGACAAAGGATAATTATTAAATAAACCAACCTTCATACATTCCTCATAATTTTTAATTTTAACTTATATTAGCCAATTAAAAAATATATTAAAGCTGACATTATTTAAAATTCAATTTTGAATAAAAATAAATTTATTTTAAATGCAAAAATAGAAAAATATATTCATTCATTTTTCGATGTATTACTAATTATTGCTAAAACTTTTTTAATGAAAAATAAATCAATCAAGGGATGCAGAAAATATTTATATGTATGAAAAGGTATGGTACATAATTTTTATTACTTTCATACGAAAAAATTGAAAGAAATACTTCTCTTTATATTTAGAAAATAAAAAAACATTATTTTTGTAAAAAAATCTTAATACTGCAATAACTGTTAATAGTAATGACTCTGGTTAATAATATCTAACTTTTATCAAATCATGCAATGCAATAAGTTAATATTATTATCAAACATTTAACAATAGGATATAGTTTAATTAATAAAATTTGTTCAAATAGTTAAATAGTATTTTTTTGCCACAACAATTAAATATTTCTGCTTATCCATTCATATTCAAGGCATATTTTAATTTACATGTGCATAACTGTGCAACACTGTTGAAGCATAGAATAGCAACTATTCTGATGAATAAATAGAATTTATATAAAAATGCATAAGATAGCACATTCATTAAAATTTTAAAGAATAATAACTTAAATTAAAATTTACAAATACAGACTGCTAGAATAATGCATTTAAAAAATATACTTAATTACACAGTTTTTACAAATAATTTAAAAACATTACAGAAACAACCTCTAAACGTTATGATTTCAAGAGGATCTGAATTTTTTGATAAAATGTTTTTTTAATTAAATTTTATTGTTAGAAGTTTACTATTTTAAAACACAGTTTGAAATGTATTGCGACATAATTTCTAAATTTGATCAAAACTTTCTTCCTCAAATAAGTACCATTTATCCTAATAGTTTTTATTGGCAGTTTTAATTTATTAAAAAAAAATGTATTTCTGGTTAGTAATTCTTTTAAACAAAAATACAACCCAGATCCTCTTTAAATCAAAATGAAAAAAGTACCTAAAACATGCTTTAGAAACAGGAGATTTAATACCAAGAGATAAAAAAATAAATACATATAGGCAGAAGCCAAATTTTACTCAATAAATAATGAATGCATAGAAAACACAAGTAGATAAATATTTAAATTACATGCATCACAGATTTTAGACTAGGATATGTTGGAAGTAATTATTGCCAGAAAGTACAAAAATCACAATTCAACAAGTAATTCAAAAACTATATATATGTACAAATATAAACAGATAATAAATAAACAAAATTATAAATAATTAAATCACAAAATTTAANACACTGTTGAAGCATAGAATAGCAACTATTCTGATGAATAAATAGAATTTATACCAAAATGCATAAAGATAGCACATTCATTAAAAATTTGGAAGAATAATAACTTAAATTAAAATTTAAAAATACAGACAGCTAGAAAAATGCATTTAAAAAATATACTTAATTACACAGTTTTTACAAATAATTTAAAAATATTACAGAAACAACCTCTAAACGTTATGATGTAATTTAAAATATCACAAAAGTCCCAGTAACAGTTTTGATTTCAAGAGGATCTGAGTTTTTCGATAAAATGTGTTTTTAATTAAATTTTATTGTTAGAAGTTTTTTATTTTAAAACACAGTTCGAAATATATTGCGACATAATTTCTAAATTTGATCAAAACTTTCTACCTCAAATAAGTACCATTTATCCTAATAGTTTTTATTGGCAATTTTAATTTATTTTTTAAAAAAAAATGCATTTCTGGTTAATAATTCTTTTTTTAAAAAAATACAACCCAGATCCTCTTTAAAACAAAATGAAAAAAGTAGCTAAAACATGCTTTAGCAACAGGAGATTTAATACCAAGAGATAAAAAAATAAATACATATAGGCAGAAGCCAAATTTTACTCAATAAATAATGAATGCATAGAAAACACAAGTAGATAAATATTTAAATTACATGCATCACAGATTTTAGACTAGGATATGTTGGAAGTAATTATTGCCAGAAAGTACAAAAATCACAATTCAACATGTAATTCAAAAACTATATATATGTACAAATATAAACAGATAATAAATAAACAAAATTATAAATAATTAAATCACAAAATTTAAATAGATCTATTTCATAATTCAAAAGGATAAATATTAGAAAATTATCTTTCAAAATCACTCATTTTTAATATAACTTTAAAAAAAAAAAAAAAAAAAAAAAAAAAAAAAAAAAGACTAAATAAGCGATTAAAAATAAAAATAAATAAAAACTGTCAATAATTACAGTACTGTATTGAAAATACTGTATGTATGGCAAATTTAAAAAAAGTTTTTACAAAACTACTTTTTGAAAGAATTCCAATATTAAACGAATTAGTTATAAAATAATATAGACAATATACACAAGAGTTTTTGTATAAGTTATTTTGTGCACTTTCTGCTTATTTAAAAACTTTAATAAATTTTCTTAAAAATAAACTTAAAGTGTATAAAATAAAACACCTATTTCAAAATATACAATTTCTTTACTTTTATATTATACTTTTTTTAAGCATAATATTGTTATATTATTATACTTAAAAAAAAAACTGCAATATTGTTTTTAGCTTCATATAGCACACAATTTTATATTCAAGTAAGGAAAATGAAATTAGAAGTATAATAAATATATATATAGATAGATGATAAAATATATAAAAACAATTTTGCAATAATGTGTATGAAGTATTCTGAGTAGTTAATTTTAATTTGAAACAATTAAACTTATACTACAAGAAATAAAATTAAACTATATTGTGAAGAACACTTCTTTTGTATGAATTCTATTAAGATATTCATACTTTATTTTTTAATTAATATACATTGAATAACTCAAAAATGGAGCATAAGAATATAGTTAAACACACATTGCAGGATAATGAAACACAAGTGATTTGATTAAACAGTAATTGGAATGTATAAATCTAGCCCTGCTTTTATAAATTAATTTAAATTTTTTTATAAGGAATAAGATCCAAGAAAAAAATCTGATTATAATAATTCTAAAAAAAAAAATAGAAAAGTTATACACATGCTAGAATGATCAAAAAGTTCTACAACTTAATTTATTCAAATTTTTTTTGTTGTTGTTTTTCTAATTTTTGTGTACTATAATATTTATAAAATAAGAATTACTTATTCAAAAGAGAAAATAAATAAATAAATAGCTATTTTTTATGCCACTTTTATGATACATTGTTGCAATGTAGTTAAAAAAAAAGTACATAAATTTCTTCTAAGGAAATATTAATGTTCAATAATTATGGCCATAATTATATATTTTTAGAATCCTTGAAAAAAATATAATCTAAAGATTACAAAATATTAGGGCTAGTAAATTATTATTTAAGACAACAAAATCTATTGATTCACAACTGGAAGGCAAAATGATAAAAACATCAGAACAAGTTTAATTATCTGATGAAGCTTAAAGGTGTTTCTCATATTGCCCTTCAATTCATCACTGTTCCCTTCAGTAGTCAAACAGGTTTTAATATATTCTGTCAAGCTTAACTCAGTAGTAATTCATCGCATTTCCCTTGTTTTTTTTTTTTCTCTCATTAAAATATTAATTTTTCCTTTACTTCATTTTAGATGAAAAGTCAGGAGTATACAATAAGAACGACTATTATATATCACCCAGTTTAAGAACTGTTATCGAGTATAATTTCATATATGTTGTTAAACCAAGGTCCTTTAACTTTATATCTGAATACACATGAAAAGTTTTCCTAGGTGTGGTCTTTGTTGAAAATTTGCAGAGCTTTTTTGAGATGTAAAGTCCCTTTAGCCAATGTTATTAGGACTCACTAGATTTAACAAATTATATTCACTTCTTGTGGTGAAATATTAGAAGGTTGTAACTTACATATTTCCAAACATTAAGGATGAGCTGAGGTGGCTCAGGGGATACAGCGCTCGCCTCCCAATGTGATGACTCAGGTTCGATCCCAGCTGGTCGATTCGAATTCTGCGCCGAGATCGCACCAACCACAGTGCTGACGTAAATATCCTCAGTGATAGACGGATCATGGGTTAGAGTCCCCTTGTTGTCGGACAAACCGTAGAAGGTTTTCCTCTCCATGTAACGCAAATGCCGGTTAGTTGCATCAAAAAGTCCTCCACAAAAGTAAATTCCCCCCAATACTTAATCCAAGAGTTCCCTTGTCTTCTCGACTGGGTTCAAAATAACAAGGCTACGGAGTTGAACATTAGTAGCCGTAAACTCTAAATGTGGTTGGCTGTTCAACGACAGTTATAAAATAAAAAAACATTAAAAGATCTTGCATAGATATGGATGAATTTCATGAACAAATTAATTACTTAAATTGAATTATGTCACCAGTTAGTAATTCAATACATCATCTTATTTTGCTGGTCAACAAATTATGAGAGCTGTAAATATTGATTAAGTTTAAAAACTTTTTGAGCAAACTAAGTATTAGGTATTTGTAACAGCAATAAATGTAGCGAAACATCGCTTATTTGTGAATGGAAAAAATGGAATGCACAGCAAACATTTCCTTTACATCAAAATGCACAGAAACAACAAATAAAAATACACACGACAATTTCATATTAAAATCTAAATTGTGCTTCTTAAACAACAGATGGATGAAGTGTAAATATTATGCATCACACACTCATTACAATCACTCTAAATTGTATCTTTTAAATTAACATACATATAAGCTCATCTCTCATACCGAAGTGAATAGTCATCAGACTGCCAATCCCATTCATTCCATGCATGTGATACTTGGAGAGATTACCATGGGTGAGATTGGAAACAGGAATGTGTCTGATACAGGATACTATGACGTCACACAGTTACAGTTAAATAGCTGCCTCAAAGCAGGTGAACACAGTTAGGTATGACACTTCATGTTCAAGGAAAACAATCACAGAGATGTCATGGGCACACCCTGAAAAAAAAACAGTAAGATAGTTTTATGCAACAAATTGTTAATATGTTGTAAGTGTTAGTTTTAGACACCAATTTGAAAAAATTATCCATGATTAAGACACTATAAACATTAAATAAGGGATAGTTCAAAAAACATATAAGAAATACTAAGAACTGAACACTTATTCAGGTTTGCCCTAATGCAGGGTTGCCACAGAAAAAAATGAACAAAATAGTTGCTTTTAGTAGCCTAAAACATGAAAATAGTAGCCAAAAACTAGGAAAATAGTTGCCTAAATAAGAACAAAAATTCCTCAAAAATATTACTAAAATTTTGCTAATGACTTAATTGTCATATACCATGATCCATTCAGTTAAGTTGGTGGCAAATATGATAATTCACGCATCGTAATATCGTTTTAAATGTATAAATATATTTTTAAATCATGCGGAATTTCGTAGCAATAATTGTTGAAAAGGTGATCGAGAAATGAAATAGACTTACAATTGAGTCTGTGCAGATTGAACGAATTAAAAAGTGAAGACTCAAATTTGCAATTCAAAAATTTTTAAGAAGAAAAAAAAAATATCAGTGTGTCTGACTATCCTGTGGGGTGCAGAATTTCCACCCAATTTATGCTTAAAAAAAACAAAAAAAAAAAACATCGCTATGAGTTTAGAGAAGTTTCCCAATAGTCTCCTTTTCCTGAAAATAGTTGCTTTTTTAGCCTTTTCAGGCAAAAAAAAAAGGTGCCACAGTCGCCTCATGCCCAAAATAGTTGCATTTTAGTCGCCTGTGGCAACCCTGCCTAATACCATTGCACTATAATGCCTCAAATACAGCAAAAAATATAGACAGGGTGCGCAGACAGATTTTTTAACAAAAAATAAGCACCTTATAAGTACTTTTTAAGTGCTCAAAACTATTTTTAATCACTTTCCAGCAAAAAAAAAAACATTAATAATTAGGATCTATGCAGTTATAAAAAAAAAAATTTCTATTGTTTAAAGTTCTTAATTTATAAACATAAACTCAATAAAATTCAAAAACATTTTTAAAAACTTTACATAATCATGATAAAATAACTAATTTCGGATAAATATTGCAAAGAAAATTGTGAAAATCATGCATTTTTCTTAATTTAGAACAACAATCGACAAGGAGAAGAGAAAAACTTTTAAAATATAGAAAATTGAGCACTTTTTACAAACCTTGAATAAAATAAGCACCTTTAAGGGCTTTTAAAAAACGTAAATCAAAAATAAGCACCTTTAAGCACTATTCAAAAACGCTATGCACCCTGATAGACAAGACGTGTAAAACAAAGTTTTGATGTGTTCACTAAAACACACAATTCCAAAGCGTAAGGAAAATAATAAAAAAATAAATATTTAGGTTGCACTGTCACTATCAAAATTTAAGAAAAAGATTTAAAAAAATCAAATTTTAAAATTTTTTATAAAAATATATATGCTATTAATTTATGTTATAATACCATGCTCATGTTTTAACACTCTTTTAATACATCTTTAAAAATAATTATATATTTTTATAGTTTTTAGGCTGCATATAAGTTATAAAGTTTCTTAAAAATTAGCAAAAATGTGACTTTTGCTTTATTTTATAAATGCAGCTCTTTACTTGTTATGCAATCATAATTTATTTCCTTAACAACCTAGAACTCACCATGTGATTAAGGCTGACTTTTCTTTCCGAATACAAGAGTTATATAGAATGATTTTGGAGAATGGGACATATTAACAAATCATTTTTTTTTTTTTTTTTACAAATCTTTTCATAGGATTTCTAGTTCTACAATTTGGATTAATTCAACAAAAAAAGTTTTTCTTTCTATGCAAGAAAGATCAGGGTTCAGATTTGCTTATCACATCATTAAATTTATAAACACAACTTTCACACTTAATTTTTAAGCATGAGTGGATTCAATATTTACATTAATATCAAAAAAAATTTTTTTAATTAAATAAATAGAAACAATTATTGCCATTTTAATAAAAATTAGTTTTTCATACATTAGATTTGAAAGGTGTGCAAATGCACCCCTTTGATTCCTCTGCAAGCACACTTCAATTTACCTATCACTCCTTTAAATTTTAATCTATTATAGCTGAATTATATTTTGTAGGTAGATTATTGCAAAATTTGCTGCCTGCACTGCTTTAAAAATAATCAAGTATAACAAACATATGACATACCTTTTCCAATTTGTTTGGATTGAATTCAATATGGCGCACCCTCTCAATTTCAGATTTTTCATCCAAAATCCTCATTTTCACTTCACTTAAACTGACAGGATCAACTGTTGCCACCGTATCAGGAAAGAGAAACACTGTACCAACTAATTTTGTATTTTTGGCTGAAGATACTTTCACCGCTTCATCTCCAGTTCCGGGACTGACACCTTCAGCATTTGGATTATGTGCAGAGCCTCCAGAGCCATAACCACTTTCAGGGCTGCTTTCTGGACATTTCAGTGTATCTCGAATAACATTAAGAGGAACTGATTGCTTTTCCTCTTCAGATCTAAAACAAAGTTAATGTATCTCATTTTATTTTATAAAATATAATATTTTTTTAAATAAATATAAAATTTAATTACCATAAATTAATATATGAGTGACTACATTTCTGAAAATCAATCTTACTGCATAACTATAAAACCACTATATGTATTAAGCTTAATGCTATAACCACTTCACACCATATTTAAAAACTACTATAAACAAATGATTAGCTGCTAGTGCAAGAGCGATTTGATAAATGTATAAAATTATATTGATTTTTATTTCATTTTATAACCGTCGTTGACAGTCGACCCAATTTTATGGGTCGACTGTTCAACGACCCATTATGACTGTTCGAGTATTAGGAGAACTCCTGGATCGAGTATTGGGAGAAATTTGCCTACGTGGAGGACTTTTTGATGGAGCTAACTCGCATTTGCGTTATATGGAGTCCTCTCCATATAACGCAACCAAACGAACCTCCCACAGTTAGCCTGGCGGCAAGGGGACTCTAACCCATGATCCGCGTACCACTGAGGATACTTCACGTCAGCACTGTGGTCGGTGCAAGCCAGATGCGAAATCTGAACTCGGACTGCCGCATTGGAACGCGACCGCTCTATCCCCTGTGCCAACGCAGCTCAAATTATATCGATTGAAAACATTTATTAAACAAAATTTTATTCGATTATTATTACTATGTAAAACTTAGTTCTTGTACTAAAACCTAAAATAAAACAACGCATAATTCTAGGTTTCAGAAAATGAACTAACTGTTGGTTCTAGCAGAAAAACTAATTTTTAATTGGATGTTGAATTACTAAAAAACACTTAACCCTATAATCAAATTCATTACATAAATTAAGTATGAACTGGTATAATAACATTGAAATCAATACATAAACTAGCAAATGGGGTAAAAATCCTACTGGTGGGTGTAAGAATAATTTTTTTTTTCAAATGGACTTTCAGAATAAGATTACTGAGTTATTATCACCACTGTATCAGAATAGCATATATTGTAGGTAACATACATGAAATTAGAAGACCTTCTTACAGTCAGTTTTTCCTTATTTTCTTAATTAGTGATTTTAAGGAATGAACATTAAAAGAATAATGTCCTTTTTTAAAATTTGCCTTACTTTAAAACTAACTTGCATACAAATATTTCTTCACAACAAATAAATTTCAAACACATAAAGCAACTTTAAACAATGAAGAGACAGTAAAAATTACGCAAAAGAATAAGTCAGCTAACCTGCTTTCTGATTTAGCTTGTAGCTTCGGTTTACTCCAATTCATAGATCCGCATGCCGATCCATAACCACTTTCGATGCTTCCATCTGGTCGTCGCTTCAACTTACACACCACTCTGCCTCTAGTCGGACTAGCAACTCGTGGAGGTGGCAAATCACTCGGTGATCGAATGTGAGAAGCTAATAGCAGGGCTTCATCAACTATTATTGTGGCAGCATTCTCGGCAAATAACGTAACTTTCCCTTTCAATTCTATGAAATCAAATTAGAATGAATGAGTAATATAGACACTATTCAGAAATATAGACAATAAGCCCAATATAAGAATATTGGCAATTGTCATTATTAATTAAATAAGTACTTGGAGTGAGGAATTAATACTTAGGACATTAAATTTATTTTCTTAAGTGAATATAAACACTCAGAAAAAAATGTCTCGGTTTTTCCCTGGCTTTTCACAATGATGTTTGTAACTGATGGCACTAAATTTTCTTAAAAATTTTTTAGTTTTGCTTTACTTTTTCTACAAACACTTAATAGTCACTTAATTGATAGGACTCAAAATGCTGTTAGCTCACAGTGTAATCTACTCTTCACAAAGAAAAGGAGGATGCTATACATTACATTTTGTGATTCCAAACAAAACTTCAGTTTATACGCAGTTTTTACTCTTTACATAAGCAATTTTTGTTTGTAGCATAAAATGTTTCCTTGGTTAAAATGCAACTTCAGTAAAATAAATATAAAATCTGTAAGTCAAACCAGCAGAAAAAGATTTATTTTGCAAAAAAAAATTTGAAGAAAAAAAAGAAGAAATCTTCAAAGTTAAATTATATATAAGTGTCAATAAAATAAAACGTGGAAAACGAAAAGGATATAAAATTTTCATTCCTCCTTGGGCATAATTTTTCTACAACTAAGTGGTAGTATATACTGCACCAAACTTCAGTTTCTACAAACACTTAAATTTGCCATAGGAGATAAAAACAAACAATTAAAAAAAAAGAAGCATTAAAAAGCCATTTTTTTTTCATTTGGAAAAAATATCAAATCTAGAAGAACCTTAAACTGAAATTAATTCATTTTCTCTGGAAATTTGGGGATTTTAATTAAATTCCCAGGCATTTCCCTGATTGATAAAAATGCTTTTTATCAATCAGAACTTTTCCTGTTTTTTTCCTTCTGATTTCTCTGTTTTGTGATCCCCTTGTTTCTGTATTAAAAATAATAATTGAGTGCAGTGTTAAAAGAGAAAAAAATTATAATAAATGAAATGAAATTTACCTCTGACTTGAAAAGGACTGTGACAATCTGCATGAAGGGATTGAGAGGTGGGAAGGCGGAAAGTGTCCATGCGAATTGAAACAGAAGATGGCAGGGGAAATGGCAGAGAGGATGATTCCTTTGCTTTACGCCGCTTCATAAACAAAGGTTCTTTTTCAGTTTTCTTTAACTTTTCTTTCAAATATGCTACTTCATGCTAAAAAAGATAACACCGTTATTCATTCTATACAGAAATAAAGCAAATAATTTGTAAGATAAACAGGTATAAAAATGCTTAAATCAGTACACATGTAACATAAAAAGCTTCTTCTAATCCTATTAATCTTTTAATGTTATTTTCTCTGCTATAAAACAACTCCTAATTAATTATTCCAATCGAAACGCTTTCTCATACTTTTAAAAAGCCACATCCTGTACTTAAATCTATTTTTAGCTCAAATATGCATAATTAAAAGTAAAGACATTTTTCCGTTTTCTCTTCGTGGGACCTATTTCATAAACCAATAGCAATTTCTAAGAGTTCCCTCTTTTCCCTAAATAGAGACATTTTTGGATTTTTTGCAAGATTTTTTCGACCAGAAAGACTGATCGTCGATGGAGTACACTTCACTTTTTGCTCGTCATTTTACATACATATGTGTTACTATCAATGTAAGAAATATTATCATTAAACAGAATATTTATATTGCATTAAAGTGATAGGAATTTTGACGAATTCCTAGTATTTTAAAGCGAATCATGAAGCTTGAGAATTTCTTGTATTTCATTCAGGCATTGGATTTAATACTTAAGTATAGAATGACAAATGCTTTTAAGACTAAGTATGATAGAATATCCTGATCAGGATATTATTTAAAACATGTTAAACCCTAAAAACAATGCAAATGTAAATTTTGAAATGTAATTAAATACTGCTATTAAAGAATGTTTTTTGATAATACCTAAAAAAAGTTAAAATTATACAGATCGACAGATTAAAACTCACTATATTGCTTATTTATAGGCACTTTCAAGAGCTAAAAGGAAATTTTAGCAAGGTTATTCTTCCCTATCATTGAAAAAGTATAAGAGGCAAAAAAAGAAGAAAAAACACTACTTTTAAATCATTTAAAACATTCAACATTTATTTACTTCTAGATCTTCCACTTTCAAAATAAGTAAATCCACTTTATGATCAGATTGAACCTTCTCTTTTTGATAAACATTGATGGTGTTAGATAGTTTTTCTTTGGCCGATGTGATAATACCTAAATGGGAGGAAATGAGAATTAGTTGAAGAGGATGCATCTGTGTTTTGTGAAATTTAATTTCCTTCAATATATTTACTTGAAAAGAAAATATATGGAAAAATATTTGGAGACAATTTCACTTATTTCTCAATAGCTCCAATGATCAGAAATATTATTTCCTTATGGCTTATTTTATATATTGCCCTTTTAAGAAAGAATGCATTATTCAAAATGTAAATGCTAGCAGCTGTGGAGAAGTTTTAGTTTATGTTCAGGGGGTTATCGTCTATCTCCTTCTAATATATATATATTTATGTAGGATTTGTGATTGTCTATTATCCTAGAACAGGGATGGCGAACCAATGGCACGCGACACAATATTTTGGGCACGCCACCGATCACAAAGTTCACTATGAAGCATATTAACAATTAAATTAGAATTCACAAAAAGCAAAAATCATAAATAAACAATTATAACCAAAAAAATTAACAATTAATGCCAAAAAAACAATTAATAACCATAAAAAACAGGCTAGCAATAAGTAACTAGCAAAAAAAATTAACAGTCCTGCTTCAACTAACATCTTACAACCTAATATAAGTTATTTGTCATCTAATCTGCAACAACAGAAGTCACACTGATGTTACTCTAAGTTGAATTACGCATATGACTGAGACATTGCAAATTGTGCGTTTTTATTTTTTTTAAAATAATAAATAGAGTTTTGAGTTGATACTATTTTGTACTATTATTTTCTCAATAATCGCGAAGTCAAAATTATTTGACGGCTCGTCTATGACTCATTAAACAATTTTTCAGAAAAAATGGCATGTTGGTGCATAATGGTTCGCTACCCCTGTCCTAGAACAACCATCAACTTCCTTATTTAATGGCAAATGAAAGTTTGGAAGGGAAAAGTCTCGAATTCTATTTCAAATTAACTTAAAATTACTTTAAAACAAAATTTATTCAGTTTTTGTCCTGCAACGCTGCATGTAGGCAGCTTTGCGTGTCGCTGTTATACCTCCCTTGCCCCAAAAATCACAACATATATACATAGATATATATCAGGGTGTGTAGCCAAAACTTGTAACAAAAAATAAGCACCTTTTAAGCACTTGAAAAATATTTTTAAGCGCTATATACATTAACAAAATGCAAAATAATTTTCAAAGACTTTACATGATCATGATAAAATAACCAGTTTCTGACAAAGAACTCCTTTTTTTTTATTATATTAGAGATTATAAAAAGATCAAGAGTTTTTTCGTTTTGATATCAGAGGGAGGGAAATGAAGAGTGAAATTGAGAATATCTTGCAAAATGCAGCAGAGTTGCACACGAGAGTGTAATAATCTCACTGAACCCAGCTCAGTAGACGCACACACACTTCAAACATGTAAAACGATTGGTGCTTTCATACGCTACGGACCGACGGTACACCGGAATGAATTGTGGTTGAATGAATTGCGAAAACGTTGAACAGAACAATGTAAAAAGCAAGCTTTTGCATAATACTTGGCGAAAATCGACATGGTAAAGAAAGAAATCTCATTTTTGTGAAGAAAAATTTAAGCTTCATGTTAATTGCCCAACATACAAACTTAAATATCTTAGAATTATCATGATAAATAATAACAATTATTGAACTAATTTATACAATACATTATTTCACTTCATAATCAGTAGAGCACTTACTTTTTAAAATTAAGCTAATACGCCATAAGCGAAGAAGGATAATCAGGACCGCAGCCTCTTTTCCAATGCCAACTTTTGATGGGGCAACAAAGAAGGCTATATCTAATCCGAATGCAATGAGCACAATAACAGCATCAAAGACCTAAATAATAATAATAATAGTGAATTAAATTAAAAAATATAGTATCTTTTAAATGGAATTTCTATAATACAGTTTGGGGGGAATTGAATTCAATGTATTTTTAATTGTTGAAAACTCAAAAGGTGTTGATTAGACTTTAAAATCCAATTTTAGGTTGATTTTTTCTACTCATATTATGGTATTTGAACTTAAAAATAATTTTTTAGTTAAAATTTGTTTAATTGGATTAATTTTCACAACCTTAAAGTATTTTTTAGTAATTTTAGATATTAATTTCGTTTTTAATCATTAAAAAGAATATANTTTTACAGTTGGGGTTAACATTAAAAAAACGGCTTTTTGTAGCGATTCAGAAAACCGGAAAAATCAGTTATCCGGAATAGCGATGGTCCCGATCGTTCCGGATAATCGGTTCCCTACTGTATGAAGAACTAATTATTAACCCTAAAGATATAGTAGGTGTAAATCTTAAGCAAAGTACAATAAAGCAACTAAAAGGGAAAAAAACTTTGCTATATTTCTTACATTTATTTTAAAACTTTAAAGTTTTATATTTTAAAATCTATAATAATATATTACCTTAAAAATATATTACTTCATAATTAGAAATGCACATTAAAATTATTATGTATTTTTTCATGATTTCAGTTTAAAGGTTAAAAAATAGCTTTACAGCTGCTTACCTTTCATTATAATTAGTTAAATTTTATAATCATTGATTTCAAAATGGAAATTCAGTTATTCATGCATAAAAATTTCCAGTTAAAAGTTAAGTTTATGTTATAAATTAGAATTGACTTATGTATATAAAAATAAGGTTAGGTAAGTAAAAACAAATTATTTGTTAAAAATATTTATTCATAAATACCTTTAGCATGACTTTTTGAATAATTGTTTTGAATATCTAAACTAAACAGCATTTGATAATAAAAATTAAATATGTAATCTGTTAATTTGAAGGTAATGTGTGATTTGTAGTATAATATAAAAAACACAAAATTTAATTATGATATTTTGAAAGTTCTTTAACTATGGAAAAAAGTTCTATTATAACCTTTTGTGTAAGACACTGAAAAATTTCTTAGGAAATTCATAAAATTTATTTTTCTTCATAATTTTTTATTTTTATTTAAAAGTGATTTTTTTTTAAATGGCTTGAAAATTAATACTATTATATAAACTAGATTGCAATTATTGACTATTGGAAAGTGTTTTTTTTTCTTTCATTTTTTCACACTTGAGTTAGAAGAAACTTATTTCTTACAGGATAATTTTTTCCACTGGGCAAAAAACTTGCTGTCCAACATACATAGAATTATACAAATGTGGAGCATATTGAAATAACATTCAAGGCCACTCCGTCTTCGAATTATTTCTTTTCTTTTCCATCTGTATTGGTTTTAATTGATTTTCTTGAAACTATTTATTGTTTGTGGTATAATTTAATAAAATGTAATGACTTAAGATTCATGAAAATGTAATGATGATTATACACACGATTTCGCACAAGATTATCAATTTTGTTAAATATTGTTTTGTACTTTGTTAATAAAAAAGTACTGTAGAGTTCGCTAGATCAAAGGGAATACCGAACCTGCAACCTGTCATCGAGCACATCCTGATATTCCTTCTGCTCTCGGAAATTAGCTGTAACCGACTGCAAGATACAGATGTCATTTTTGTTATCCCGTACTTTTTCCCAGCATATATATATCTGTGAAATCACAAAGTATTACTACAACTACTCGGTGTGTTACACATTTTTTTTGTATTTTAATTTATTTTAAGTTAGTCACTCAGTTTTGTGACTGTATCTTTTTCCGGAAAATAAAACTTTTATCTTCTGATTGTTATGATGTAGTCTTTGCTTCCTGCAAATGTGAGAACGTTATATCTAGTTCCTACAGTACAAAATATGTAAACAAAACAGATACTTACTTCAACACCTTGAACGATAAACCTTGTTTTGCCAGTAATTATTCTTAAAATAACCTAAAAATTAATGAAAATTGTTAATGAGTCATAGAACAATTTGAGAAAAATAAAATTTTAAAAAGGGATACATTCAGTGAGGATATATTAAAACATATGTTCTATAATTGAGAAAATTTTATAAAAATCTAAAGCTGTGAGTACACAGAATTAGTAAAAACAAATTGATTGTGTTTGCCCCTCCCCCCTTTCACAAGGTGGGCACTACAAGATGGATTCTCAGAAGGTGTGGAGACAGCCCGTAGGGTCTGCTGAGACAGGATGCACAGCCAAATTTTTCAACAAAAAATAAGCACCTTTTAAGCACTCAAAAAATATTTTCAAGCACTTTGAGAAATATAATTAGGGTTGGCAATTGATGGTTTTTATCTGGTTTTATTTACAGTGACGAAGACGCTTCACAAACAATGAAATTAACAAGAGAAATGAAATTCTCTATCGCCAATAGAGCAAAAAAATAGTTGACAATGTTTAATTGGTCCCCATAATCAGAAAACACTCGAGAGATTTTTCGATTCTACTATTAGAGAGGGTGGGAAATGAAATCTGAAATTGAGAATCTCTTGCAAAATGCAGCAGGGTTGCACATGAGAGTCAAAAATCCTTACCACTGAATCTAGCTCAGTATACGCAAGTGCGGACCCACAAGTATTTCATCAAATATGTAAAACAAATGGCGTTTTCATACACAACAGACTGACAGTACGCCAAAATAAATTGGGGATGAATTAATTGTGAAAATGTTGAATAGGACAATGTCTTTTTGCATAATTTGTGATGAAAATCAATATGATAAAGAAAAATATCACATTTCGGAAAAGGGAAAATTAAGCACTTTTTAAAAACACCCATGGAAAAAAGCACCTATAAGGGCTTTTAAAAAACGAAAATAAACACCTTTATGCACTTTTCAAAAGCGCTACGCACCTTGAGATAAGGAGATCAAAATTAATAAATTTATGAAGAATTAGAAAAGCAAGATGCTTTATCTTTCAATTTGTTGGTGTGATGATATTAAATTTCAATACACCAATTAGTAGGACTCAAACTGTTTCTCGCTTGCAGTGTAATCTGATCTTCACAATGAAAAGGAGGAAGCAATTCTTAAAATTCTTCTTTATTTGAAATATAATTCTATATCGCCATAAAACTCATGAAATTAGATTATTTATAAATACCTCAATAACAAATAAAGTCAAAATGGTAATACTGAAGAAAGAAAATGCTTCTTTGGCCCTTTTCACTTTAGGGCTAATGGCATCCCCAGAGTTTGTTGACATGGATAAATTTTGTGTGCAATTTAAAGATTTGGCTTTCCAATATGGATCTAGAAAAAAGAAAAAAAAATTAAACTTCACCAAATGAAGTGTTTATCAAAAATATTTTTTTTTATCTAACAAGGTTTTTTTTTCCTTTGGAACTAGAAAAAAAAACTTAACAAATACAGGCAAAATATGTTTACCTTGTACAACATTCAAATCTATAAGCAATTCAGACAAAACTACGGCACCTTCAGCAAACACGAATATGACAATAACAACATTACAAACTCTGCTATTCAAAGCTGTCCAAATTTTTTCACAAACTCTATACAAACAAAAAGAATTAAAACAAATATTTCATATTTTTTATACATTAAAATGACATTTTAAATATATGATCAAATAAAGTATGAGTGATAAAATATAGGTTTAACTGGTAGGGTGAAAATGACTATGGTTTTGCTGCTATGTTTCTAAAGAGTTTCAAATGTTTCCAACTTTTAATAGACTAAAACATGCATGCTTGTTTCTTGGATATTGGTCACTGGTAGAGCAAACCACTGAAGTTTATTTTCCTAAGTCATGTTTCAGTAGTATCAGACCACCGAACACCAAAGTTCATGATTTTTTTTTTTAAAAATAAAAAAAGTCAGATTTTTTTGATTTAAATCAGATTTTTTGGATTTTTATTCAAATACACTGTAAGAACTTTCATTAATGACTAAAAAAACTTTATAAATGTTTAATTAAAATAAAATTAATATTACAATTATATTATAAAAATATTTCAGAAGCTCTAACTACCTAAAAAAATTTTTCATTATAGTACATAGCTTTGAATACATAGCAATTATTTTGAAACAAATACATGATTGAAATTTAAACACTAGATGAAATAGAGAATTTAAGGAATACTTCAATTATTAAAACAAAGTTTCAATTACCAAATCATAATTTTAACTTAAAATTGTGATTTTTTTTTTTTTCTCTTTAATTTTTAAAATGACTAAATAAATGTAACAGATAGTGTTTATAAATGTAGTCATTGATCAAAAAATAAATAAATATTTAATCTATATATTTTTATATTAAAATATTCGTTTTTAATCCTATCAAAATAGATCAGTTAAGCTAAAAAAAAATTTTTTTTAAATCTATGTACTCATTGAAATTTTTTTTCCACAAAATTTCTTTATAGAAAATTTGATAATATCAAAGATACTGTAAATGTATTATGAGAAAAAAATACTTAAATGTTTACTTTAATCTGTACTTTCAATCTCAAGAATCAAGACTTTTAAAAATGTAATTTCAAATGTGTTGGAATTTAACACATACCAAGAAAGAAAGTAATTTTGTTAACTAAAATTAATTTATGCAGCAATTTATTTAAAACAAATTTTAAAACTAAGAAAAGAAATTATAAAAGTATCAATAATTTAAAACACTGTTTTTTAACTTTTTAAATCAATATATAGATAAAAAAATTTTTTTGATTTAAATCAGTGATTTTTTAAANTAGTGTTTACTTAATTCCTATACTTTTTGATTTTCTTAGGGTTTTACTTAATTCCTATGAGCAGATGCATAACCAGTAGAACTGAATTTCCTGAATTCTGTCAATTTTGAAGGTTAGTGTGGGTTCTTAGAACTGCACCCCCCCCCAAAAAACACTATCTCTTCCATGTGTAGTATTCCCCTTGTCCACACTATTCTTTTCTTTTAGAATGCTTCTCTGTTCTCATAGAGTATCATTCTAGGCAAAGGGCAGAATATATTAAGGAAAAAGCCTATATATTAATGAAACAACATGTTTTCTTCCCTTGTCTGTACCCCCCCCCCTACACACATTAATTTTTGTCTCTCTAAATGCTTTACCGTCAATGCGCGGTCTAATTCTAATTGATAAAAGAACTCTATTTTGTTTTAAAAAATTGAACAGAAAAATTGTTGCTATTAACCATAGTGATGCTAAAAAATTAAGGACTTTTAAAAACCTTGTACCAAAATTAAGTACTTTTAAGGGCCCTTATTTTCCAAAATAAAAATTAAGCAGTTTTTAAGGACTTTTACGGACCGTGGGAGCCCTAATATGACTTAAATAAGTCGCTCATTTAAAAAAAAATGCAGTTTTATTAAATGAATATTCTTTAAATTAGTTTAAATACAAGTTATAAAAAAGAGAGACTCAATTTCAACTGTACCTTCGGGTTTCATCAACTTCTGGAGTAGTGGTCCCTCCACTAAACCCCCAGATAACGGAATCTGTATTACGCATCAGTTCTTCTTTACTAAAATTTAAAAAAACAATCATTTATGCTTTTAATTTTTCTCCATTGCATACAAAAAAATTAGAATACAATACAAAAGAAAAGGTTAAAATTATCTATGCAATAATTTGAAAATTAGGAAATCAATTTTTTTATAGGCTCTAAATTAAAGAATACAGAATTAAGTAATCAGATCAAAACAAATTTGTATACAAATAAAATAATTAAGTTATAATGTTTTTTTTATTCAATATTTTGAAGCATTATCTTGACATTCAGTTTGATAATTTATCCAGAATAAATCGCAATTAATTTTAAAATTATTCTTAAAAATTCATTAAAAAATTTTTTTTAAAATATTTTAAATTTAATTGACTTTTTTGTTGCCATTGTTTTATATCTTTCAATACATAATAATAACAAAAATAGAAAAAATACTTTATTTCGATAATTAAAATTTATTACATTTATTTCTTAATTTTCATTAATTAAAATTAACAAATTTAAAGTAATATAAGATTGATCTCTTTTTTGAAACAAACAATCTAAAAATAGAGTTTTAATAAAACTATAGTTAATAAAAATTATTTATAATTAAAATTTGAATTATTAAAATTTATTATAAAATATTATTATAAAATATTATTAATAAAAATTATTAAAATTTGAATAATTAAAATTTATTATAAAATATTATTAATAAAAATTATTAAAATTTATTATATTTATTTCTTAATTTTCGTTAATCAAAATTAACAAATTTAAAGTAATATAAGATCTATCTCTTTTTTGAAATAAACAATCTAAAAACTACTGAGTTTAAATAAAACTATAGTTAATAAAAATTATTGAATTTCACTATTACAATTGCTTTATAATAGGTCACATATAATTATCATAATTGTAAGTGTAGTAGGGATATACTTTACTATACTAGTAGTGTAGTAGGATAAACTTTTAAGTTTGGTTACACATAGAGCTCCAAAATTTATGACTATCACAACCAAGTAGTAATTATATTAATTTGAACACCAAAAGCAAATAGATATGTCACTTATTTACTTAATTTAAATATGACAAAAAAAATGATAAAAGAATTCTTCTTAACTGAGAGATCATTCTAAAGGTAAATATTCTCTTTCCTTTTTGATCACTAATAATATTACATTTCATCAGAGCTTTGAACATTAAACGAGAAAAGAATTTTTAAAAAAATCTGATTGAAATTAAAAAAATTCAATGCATTATATATATACTTATGTCTGATTTTGATAAATTCTGATAAAATGTGTGAATGTTTCATCCAAGGCCGCTAAAATACTAAGCACACCCTTGATTATACCTAACATAGTAGTTAGATTAACTTAAACATCAATATAGCAAATGGAGATTTTACATTTTATCTAATTTATTAGTCAATCAAAAAATTGATGTAGAACTTTTATCTTATTAACTAATAAGTCATTTTAAATTTAAAATATCTTTTTACACTCATCAATAGATAAATTAATTTAATTATTGATAGATGTTAAAAAAAATGATAAATGAAATGAATTTAATATCGATATAAAAGTGAGATATTAACATACTTCAGATGTTTTGTTATGCATAGAATCCCAAAATTGATCACCATAACAAATAACAACCAACTAGGAGTTAGACTAATTTTAATAGCAATAGCAAATATGTACCTATTTCATCAATTTTTTATCAATAATTTTTTTTAATCTCTTCAAAAAAATATGATAAAGAATTCTTTTTTTATTCACTCAGTTTCTTCTTAATTTAAAAAATATTTTTTTCTTATATCCATCAACACATAAATTAATTTAATTATAAATGTATGTTAAAAATGATTTTAAATGCATGTTAAAAATTATGATATTAATGTGAGACATTATTATATTTTAAATGCTTTGTTAGGCACAGAATCCAAAATTAACTACCATAACTAGTAATTAGGTTAATTTATAGATCAATAGCAAATGAATATTTTACTTATTGTTCTAATTTAACTACCACTTAAAAAATATGATAAAAGGCTTTTTGCTTATTAACTGAGAGATTATACTAGACTTAAAACATTTTTGTTTTTATATCCATCAAAAATAAATAACAATTAAATAATATTTAGAATTTAAAAATATAAAACAAGTGTATGTAGTGTTACAATGAAATTTTATTTATTTATTTTCTGTATATTTTTAATGCTCTTCTAGAATACTTACTTTTATACTAAAAAAAAAAAAAAAAAAATTATAAAATCATTATCTAATCTGAAAATTTTTCATATTTCAAAATATGTTCATAAAATAACCAATTAAAATATTTTAATTTCAAAATTGTTCCATAAAAAAATTCTAAGATAATGATCAAAATAAAAATTTTTTTTTATAAGTTTATACTAAAAAGGACAGCATTAGAGTATGAAAAATAAAATATTTTGAAGATAAAATTAGTAATTTTCAATAAATAGTTGCTTTTTTTGTCTAACAAGATACAATACCTATATTTTCAATTATAATTCTACCAATCTAAAAAAAAAATTGAAAACAATAAAATATTTTCATAAATTACAAATATTATATGACAAAAATACTTTTGAAAAATCACAATATTCTCTAGGTATAATTGTATAGTGAAGATATAATAGACATTTAAAATAATTATAGATGATAAGTATAATGAAGAAAACACTAGTAAATTAACACTAGCAACCAAGTAAACACAAGTAAAGAGTAATTATTAATATTAAGTAACATGATAATACAAGAAAAAAAAAGGGATAAATATTGTTTTATAATTCTTTAAGTCAAAAAAGTCATTCAATATCTATAAGAAACAAAAGTCAAATAATAGAAAACATTTCATTCTTTTGTAAAAGATTTTTCCAAATAACTTACAGTATTGAGTGAAAGTGTTAGAAGTTTTGTGAGTAATTAATCAAGCACAAAATGTTTACAACAAATCAACAAGATTGGATTTGAAATTACATAACTGACTAAAGACCATGAAGAACTGTAGAAAAAACATTGAAATTTATCTTTAAATATTAAAAACTGTCCTTTAAAAAAATAAAAAAAGATTCATTTTAACTAAGAAATAAGAGTAATTCAAAATAAAATTAATGAAAATTTATTTATCAAAATAATTTTTATAAATAGATGTTTTTATAACAATTATTTTTAAAATAAAAATAAAAAAACATTATTCATGACTTAAAAATTAATTCTATGATTGCTTGATAAAGTAGACTCAAAAATTGAACTGGAAATTGAGTGAATGGACTGGAAATTCTGTGAGTTATTAAATTAATTAATCTAGTTAAAATGTTTACAATGAACAAAATTGATAATTAGACAACGTAATGGTATAAAGTAACTTATTGAAAGATTATATGCCGAAAACTATCTTTAAAATCCATTCATAATTGAAAATTGTCTTTAAAATTCATCATATCAACTGTTTATAACATTTAAAAATAATGCACAAATACTATAAAGTTTAAAAAATTTTAGTTATCAAAATAATTTCCTAAATACATGCTTTTTATAAAAATTACTTACAAATTAAAAAGTTATTCCATAATTGCTTGATTATGAACAAGATGAATTATTCATTTGTCGATTTATAAGATATGTTTTCAACCAAGAATGATCAAGACAATACTCCGTTCAAAGCCAAAAAATTTCTTTAGATTTAAAATCCAATCAACTAAATTAAAATATTCTTCGTCAAACGTGACATCCGTAGTTATAGGAATTTCAGACGATTTTACCTTTACAACTTCCTTTCGTTCGTTCGGAACTACAACTACGGGATAAAATATTGGAAGATCTTCTCCATTCATAGAGTAAGATCACGCTGGAATCAGCGACCTGGCGCAAACTAACTAGCCTAGAACGGCACTTTTCCCAGTGTTTGGTGAATTTAGAATTCAAGACAACCGAGAGAGAAACTCGGACAATGAATAAAAATAATAAAAAAGACAAAAAATAGATAAGAAAGACATTATTATGAATAACTTACCTCACAGAGGATGCCATGTTTATAAGCGGATATCTGTGATGTTACAACAAAGGGTTGCCGTTAAATGTTGACACGCAGAAAACACCACAATCAGTGGTCGCCAAACAGTTTGATCAATGATGTTTGAGCCAACTAAGTAGAAGTAAATAATTTTCGTTTCCGTTCATAAATACTGAGATTATTTTTATTAAGAAAATTTTTATTTAATAATTCTCACTTTCAACTAATAGAATTCGGGAGATAGTCATAGAAATTTAAAGTAAAGATTCATCATTAATTTCGCTAATAATAGGGAAAAACAACTTTTTTTTTAAAAAAATTGCTTTACTATTTAACTTTTTTATGAAAGAATTTAAAGCTGAGTAATTTTTTTTAATTCATCATATAAAAATACTTATCAGTAAAAACTTACAAAAAAGAATAAAAAAATATTCTAGGATACTTCACAAAAGGAGTAGACAAAAAGAAAAAAATAAGTAAAAGGTTCCTTTTTTTTCTCTCATTAATATTGTGTGTGTAACTTAATCAGAGTTTACTATATTTTAGAAAAAAGAAAATGATCTAAGGTATTACCTTTAACACATTGTTTTGCTTACGAATTTCTTGATCATGGCCGACCAAGAAATAATAAAATTAAACTGACCTAAACTGACCTGAAACTAATAAAAAATTTTAATTCTAAATTTCGCCTTTAAATTCTTTTTATTTTCCTGACAAATTTTTGTTCCTATTCATTATTTGTCTTCCTAATTTACTTATTTTGGCATTTTTAAATTTCCTTTTAATTTTTTGTGATACAATGTTTTGAAAACAAGTTCATTTATCATGAAGAGCACCCACTCCTCTTTCCTGATCTAAAAACTGGCCATAGTTCAATAAAATTGGCTTCTGCTTAATACATTAATAATCACCCCCAAAAAATTCAAATAAAGTTGTTTTTATAGCAATATAACACAAACTAAATAATTATTTGCAATTGCAGCTTAAGTTCTAAAAACTGAAAAGAAAAAAAAAAATTGCAGGAAAAAAACGCGATTCTACGTAACAGCTTTTGTGGTTATAAGTCTATTATGACAGACACCGGACAATCCTCTGAATGTTTTTTTTCCTCCAATAACTTCCGGTTCTAGCACGGTACTTCCGGTTCTACTTGACAGCTGTTATCACATAATAAAGCGATCCTCTTCCTCTCAGCAATTTTTATAGATTAAAATTAATCATATTAATAAGTTTTACAATTGTGTCAAACACATTACAATATACATTACGTGTTATAATATACTTTTAGAGAAAAAAAATTTCATCGAAATTACAATTTTTCGCTTTCTGAGAAATATATATATATCTTCTGATCTTCACTATTTTTAGCTCTCTTGTAGCTTTCATTTCATGAAGTCTGCTCCCTTCCTCGATCACTACAGCTTTCGTGGTTTCGTTCAGATTGTTTAGCTCACTTATTTTGCCCCAGTTTTATTTTATTTAACCCTTTGACGCAGATGGAACACCGGTGTCCCTTTTATATATATTTTTGTTCTGACGAATCTAATTATAAGTAAAAATATATTTTGGAATTTTTTAATCATAAAAAAACAGCATATTAGTTACTAAGAAATCTGTTAGATTATAGGAATTATACTTGTACAAAGATTCAAAATCCAAAATTATTTAATATTTTTTTCATTCATATTCAGATATTTATTCATGCTTTATTTCATAAATTAAAGAAATTTCAATGATGAATTAGATCTAAATAACTGTATATACATGCAAATAACGAATATATAAAATTATTGAAAAATTATTGCTCGGAGAAGAGCAATCAGTTCATACTTGCTAAGGGACACACGTTTCCCTATTTGCGCCTAACTATCAGATTTCATAATCATAAATTATTACAATTCTAAATGCAATGTTTTTCAATTATTTTGACCTAAATTAATACAAAATAATGAAAAAATTATGAAAATGTGTTTAACGAAAATTTTGAAAGGGAAAAAAGTTGCATTTTTACTTATAATTAATAACGATTTCAACTGAATAGTCTATACTGTAAAAAAAAATTTATAAAACTACTAAACGACTAAATAATTATCTCAATATATCTTTCATTATTCATTTATATTTTATTTATTTATTGGTGTTTCTTGTTATTTATTTAAATAGAGTTTTCGTTTGGCAAAATTAAAATGCATTTAGAAAGCACCATAAATGTAAGGAATAATGTGAAGTCATGCTGTGAAGTTTATTTTTTGTTAAACATCGTTGTGTAGCTTATCACAATTTCACAATAAGCGCGCACAAACTCAGTAAGCTAGTTTCATAGCTATATTGCCTGTATCCTTAGAAAGCTATATAAATCCCCTGCCTGCTGCCCTACCAGAAAAAGATGAGAAAATACTTAATGGTACTTTTTGTGAATAGTGTTTTTACGATATATTTATACCATCAGCCATTCTGCAGTCTAGAAGGTACGTTAAATCAGTTGGTGTGAGTTAAAACATTATAGCTAGATTTAAGCAACTGGATTGTAAAACAACTAACTTATTGAGGATAATCGAAAATGTATAATTTTGTTTAAAACAAATGGACTGGCATTCAGTTGTAAAAAACCTACCAATTAAGTTTGCATNACAAATGCTTTTATGTGTGCTCAACAGATTAATAGCCACCAAGATCCTCATGCTTTACCCCGATTTCCTTGCATGTGTTTTTGGGGTTATGTGATTGTTACGATGAGACTAGGATGCCGAGAATACCACAAGAACGCAGTTGCAATTATTGAAAGTTTCAAATGACAGAATAAGCAAAGCGAACTTGATTACAAATTAGATGTTTGTCTTGCATCAAAGGGATCACGCGTCTAGCTTTTGTAACTGAGAGGAAAATACAGTACATTTTTCTTTAATTTCTTTTATAATTTATTTTAATCTACGTAATAGTTTCGAAAATTTAATTATTTAAAATCTGTTAATTTACATGTGTGAACCCTGTATTATGGTAGAGACGGAATATGAAGTTTCCCTACATTATAAATTCTTACTATTAAAATAAATTCTAATAATGAAACAATTGAGTTACAAGTCTTTATTTTTTTGAACAGATTTTTTTATTTAAATCTGAAGCATTATTTTGTTGAGTGAAGTAAATAAATGATAATGAAATAACAGTTAAAATAAGCAGAAGGTATAGTGTAAAGATTGGGTGGACTCAAATATATCAGCTAGTCATTATAACTGTCTTATAAACTTACATTTAAGTTATTGACCTATAGTTGTGGTTAAAATCCCTATAAAGTTAATTTTATTGGACGACAAGAGCAACAAACATGCAGGGTGTTTAAAAAAGTATGGAAATGGTCAAATATTTCTTGAAAAGTTTAAAAATAATGCACTCTATAACTGTTTCTACCCTTTGACCGGACACCGGTGTCCTATATATATATATATATATTTCTGACGCTCTATTTAAGGACAAAAATACATTTTGGTATTTTTTAATTTCAAAAAACAGTCCAATAGTTACTAAAAAAAATCTGTTAAATTATCGGAATTATATTTGTAGTAAAATATAAAATCCAAAAAAAGTAGTAAGAAAAAAAAATTTCATTCATATTTATAAATTTATCACTAATTGATTTTGATAAATTTCATTGAAGAGTAACTGTTTTTCTTAGATCTAAATAACTGCAAATAAGTGCTCATTTGAAAATAAAAATTTTGTTTGTAAGTGAGCCGTGTTAGGAAGATTTTACCTTTAACACAGAAAAAGATACAGGTGTTTCATATTGTATTTCACAACCATAAGTTATAAAAGGGCTAAATATATTTTTTACTCGTTTTGACCCAAATTAATACAAAATATAGGAAAAGTATAAAACATATGTTTAATAAAAATTCTGCGCTAAAGAGTTAATACCCCATAATTTAATCTTTAATACTTTAATTTTTATATATTAGGAAGCTTAGAACCCCCTCACCTCATTCCCATAGACTAAACTTTAATGAGGTATGAGTTACATTAATCTATTTGATAATTTATTTAAAATTATTACAATACTTATCAAAGGTTTTAGGTTAATTTTTTTAATAGGAGTAGAGAGTCTATGTTCTCAGTGATTTTTCTTCCTTTTTTTGTTCCTCGTTCTTTTTGTTTAGAGTCACTCATAGTTTATAAAGCTGTTTATTTTCGGCTGTAGTTACTCTTTTAGATAAGAAACAGAACGCAATCTATTCATCCAGAAACTTGAAATGGAGACTATGACATGTAGACGTAGAGAGTAGGAAGTTGGGGGCGACAACTTTCAATTGTAGACTAAAGTGCACTGAAATTTAAAATCCTTTATTAGATTACTAGCATTATTATAACTACATTTCAAATAGGAAAACGCTAGATCTAAGCGAAATATTTTATGAAGTTTAAATATTATTTCCAAACAAATTTAATAATGATTACAACAATACTGAATTTATTAAAATTCGAATTTTTTTTACATTTAAATTTAATTAAATGTAAGACTATTTTGTTGAGAATAGTTAATTTTTCAATAAAAAAAATAACACCACCTACATTTAGATAAGAATGAATTTAAAATATGTATTTAAATTTTTATGATTTATCGGTCCACTGTCTTTATTTTAATTTAATTTTTTTTTAAATTTTTTTATTGCTCTTCTCTTTTCAAAAAGTATAATCGAGAAGTTTGCCCACGAAATTTACAAACCTCTGCACACTGCTGAATAGAAATTAGACAGGCTTAACCCGGGCCAGTTGACAAAATTATAATAAACTTTCTTTTTAAAATCAAACTCTAAACAGAAGCATTAAAATTTTATGGTTCTATTACTCATGCCTGTATTAAATATAAAAGTATGGTTAAATTAATGGTATTAAATGCTAGATCCGAAAACAGGATCGCAAATAACTAACGCATAAGATCAGGGACCGATCAAGACAAATTCAGGCCCAAGGCCCACCGCATT